ACTATCTATACACTGACGCTGATAAGTATTGAGATGATGACATTGATGTTGATGTTAACTCTGGCACTGGCAGATAACGTATAAAGTATTTGACTCATCAGATCATAAAGTGTGACCTTACAAATATGAGGCACCAAGGTGGCTCAATGAGGTGAAGGATTATGATTGTGAGATCTTTTATCACCCTCGGAAGCCCAACATGGTGGCCGATGCTCTTATCCGCAAGGCGTTTGGTACTTCCATCAGCGATGTATGTTTGAGAATGATAGTGATTACCACATTCTTGGAGCAGATCCGTGAGTCTCAGGTTGAGGCTATGAAAGAGAAGCACTAGAAGATTGAGTGTATTGTGGGTCAGGTGTCCTCTTTTAATTATGATAACCGAGGACTGTTGACCCTTCATCTGAGAGTTTGAGTTCCATATTGCAGGGGTGCACGGTCGATTTTGATGGAGGAGGCACATAAGTCAAAGTTTTCATTCATCTGTGTGCGACAGATTTTGGTGGCCCTGCATGAAGCTGGATGTGGCCTGGTATGTGGAAAGATGCTTGACTTGAAAGAAATTCAAGGTTGAGCATCAGCGACCTCACAGAAAGATAGAGTTTTTGGGTGTTCCTGTTTGGAAATAGGAAGAGAATACGATGGATTTTATCACGAAGCTACCACAGACCACGCGAGGGGTGGATTCGATTTGGTTCATCGTAGATCCATTAACCAAGAGTATGCATTTTAGATCCATGGCTAAAATACCCTCAAGATCTTAATGGCTTAAGCTCTCATGTCCATCTTTCAGATCCATGGCAAAAATACCCTCAGGAATCATAAAGTTTCCAACTTTATGACTTTGCATGTCCATTAAGTGCTTTACTCAACTTCTTAATCCATTAAGGCATTCTAAATGATGCATGGAGCAAAACCAACCATTTGGGACCCCTTTTATGACTCAATACCCATCCAAATGTCTGAAAGGACAGCTTAATGGGTCAATAACATGCTATGTTCATGAATCTCCATATTTGGGACAAAAAGGACCAAAAGTCGTTCCAACAGAAGATCTAAATGAAACTTCACCAGGTTCAGAACTTGATACTTGAAAATGGTGCCAAAAGGTGGTGTGATCCTAGATCTAAAGAGCTTTTCTCCTCCAAGGTTGTCTCTTCTTCCTTCCTTCTTCTTCAAAAACACAAAACACACACACTCCAACTTAGAAATGTTTCACAAGATGGATTAGGGTTGCAAAAACGTATCAAGGGGATGGAGGCTGATGAAGTGAGGGGAAATGAGGCTATAATGTGGTTTAAATATGAGCCAAACCCTAAAAATTAGGGTTTGTATGTCTGGCACGTACGCCTTGTGTACTAGGGCACGCCCTAGTACGCTCAACGTACACAAGTACACATGGCGTACTCCCCTAACCCCCAAATTACGAAAATGCCATTGGGGCCTTCATTTCACTCATTCTTATACTTAGGGACCAAAATCCAATATAATTCAATTATAGGGTTAAAATTAGGAGTACCTTATCATCCGGATGTTACATAAGTTTGGGGTAATAGTGGAGTCCATCGGGCGTACCTTCCAGATACGCATGGTGTAATGGGTTTAAGCCTGAATCCCTTCTTGTTGAAGCCCAGTATGCAAGGTATAATGGGGATGTACGCATGATGTACTCCCAGAAGCCCATTTGGGCAATGATTAGTTGGGTCAAATAAGGGAAGGGTAAAATGGTATTTTACCCTTAGTAAGAGAGAATATGATTTGGACCACTGATTAGAGGTTATTACCCTGATTATTAACTACAGTTGATTTTGGATATGTTCAGTGTGAGGAGTCGTGGTAGCAGCAGCTCGAGAGTGTGATTGTTTAACATCATATTGATGTGAGTCTCCTCATTATACTTGCAGGTCGAAGGCACTAATGCCGACCTACTGGATTATATTGTAGGATAGTAGTTGTCTGCGTGACACTTACTGATATGCATGTATGTGTTTGTTTTCTTTGTGCCTCTTGCTAGTATGACTGTACTCTTAGCTGTAGGGGTGAAATAGACCCGTACCGGTTGAAAGATACCGAAGGAGTCGGAAGGGACTCATAGAGTCGGAAGGGACTCATGGAGTCGGAAAGGACTCATGGGTGAAATAGACACGTTACAGCCTTAGGCTGATATGTATGTATGATCTATGTGTATGGTATGTGGTATTTTGAGGAATTCAATAAGCTTTGTGCTTATGGTTTATGTTTGAATGGTTTTCAGGTGCTTCTGGTTCAAAAGGGAAGGGTCTGACATGATCACATCGCATCCACCGGTATTTAGCTTTTATGATTTTGAGATTATACTCTGATAACTATTTTCCACATTGTCATCCTTTTGATGGTTTGAGATAATGATTGATGGGTTTGGTTGACTTAAATATAAAATGTTTATTTAGTGATTTTTGGGATGTTACACATCAAAAGAATGTTCAAAGTCCAAACACGGTACTTCCAATTTGTTAATTAAACAAACATTTTTTTTTACTTTATTCGTTAGAAAGTTAGAACGTCAAAATATTTTATCAACATTACTGCAAACTGCATAATGTGATTAAAAAAGTCCTTAAAACAAAGCTTTTTATTTTGCCATAAAAAATATATAAACACGTATCGGATATTGAAATAAAATAAATAAAATAATTTTTCAAGAAATTAATCAATAAAAATACATACGCACATTTAATAAAAAATGAACATTTTTTTAGTTTGATTCATTTGAAGCGTAACTAATAATATCCGATAATTATGCATTACAAGACCAAAATATTAACATAGAGAGTTACTTCATTAACAAATACAATAACAACTTAAACAAAATTACTCTATTGAACCCTTAATCATCATTAATGCATAACCATTTTAAGAAACTCCTTCTTCTTTTTTATGTTTCTAGCCAAGATTAACATATAATATTTTAAATGTTCATTCTATCTTCTCATTTTAGGCTTCCAAACATCCAAAAGGTATTCAACATCACATATATTATCCGATAACTCCTCCATCGGAACAATATGTAGAAGGACATTGTTATTTATCTTCACCATTCATCAACCGCCTGAGAATAACCTCCATTGTTCTCATCCGCGATTCCAAACCTACAAGGTCTTCACGAATGGTAGTGATAAAATCTTCCATCAAGCCGGTGTTTGACGTAAGATAAGCCATTGATTTCGGACGGTAGGTGTCAACTTAATTCAAAATCTTCAATGATATATGTTTACTTAAAAAGGAAGAGAAAATGGTTTACAAAATGAAGGATTAAATGTCTATTTATAAGCCTGATAAAATGCATGTTGATAGGTAGCAAGTCATTATGACGTTGTGTCTTCTTCTTATAGTCATGCATAATACATGGGGAATATCTCATGATATAAATGCATTTATCTTTTCCTTAGTGTAAGAGATACCCCTATAATATCCTACTCAATCCTTACCAGTATAAAATCCATCGTAATAGGAAAAATTTTCTCACACTACATTTTCTACACATCATTTAAAATTAACTTCATACAACAAAATGGTGTCTTCTTCCAATGATAACATTCATTCGGATATCTTTTCTGATGTAAAGAAGTTCGCAATCACCAAAAGTATCGATGACGAATACTCACAACTTCACGTTCAGGCAACAACAGATCAATGCATGATAAAGTCAATCATGGACATCAGTAGAAGCGAAAGCGTATCAAGTCAACTGACTTGATTCACATAGATATCGTCTGCAAATACCACTCTACGAATGTATTGTTGATGGCCATTTTTTTGGTTGTGCACAATGCCTAAAGAACGTGTGGGCCGGCCCTAATCATTGTCGGCATCCTATGTGGATGTAATTGTCACCCGCAAATATCTAGGCAAAATTGGAAGTGTTTGCCGCTTAAAGTTGAATGACAAAGACCAAACCCACGATCTATTTCTCTCTTTCTCTAACATTTATAGCAAAATTTGAAGACACTACACCGTTATGCATAAAACATGCATGAAACATTATAGGGTTGTATCAATGATACTAACTATTGGAAACAATTTAAGCTATCACACCTTTAGCCTTACAAAACATTCAAATTTATTAATGATAACAATGTGTAAATTAACTTTCATAAACATTTTATAAAAGTTAGATTTTATATTTTTCTTATTAATAATGTAAAAAAGTTACATATTAAAAAAATTCACAATTAAAAATACATTATTATTATTATAGATAAAAAAATAAAATATTAATGGTGAAAATAGAATATATATTCATGATCTTTTATAGTTTACTATTTATATTTTATAATATAAAAAACAAAAGTAAGAACCTAAACACAACCAAATTTGGGACCTATGACCTTTTCATAATAATTCTTTGTCCCAAAAGGTACCATCCAATAGTCCCTTTTTACCAGATTGTCTTGTGCACTTGTCTCCACCTAATAAAAGTACACTCCCAGCGCACCCACTCTACAACCCTGTAAAGCCTTCTTCTTTTTTTCAATAGAGGTCCAAAACTTTTATTAGCATATATGTTATTAAATAAAGAGTATATTCCAATATTGGTTCATATGGTATTCCTAAATATAGACGTTGAATCCAATTTTTCCATTTCTATGGTTAATTTAAAAATTAAACTTTTTATGCAGATTTGGTCTTTGTGGTATTCCAGAAAATGCATTTTGAATTTTTTTTATTAAGTTTAGGGTCCAAATCTGTATTTGTTTAGATACATAGGAACTGAATCTCAAAATTTTAATTTTATAATGACCATACAAATAAAAAAAAATAGACTCAAACTGTATTTTATTAATATTAGATAACCAATTTTGCAATTTACTTTTAAATAAAATTCTTTCACGTTTTATACTGATATAATACTTTATTATTTTATGTTTTTTATTTACACTAAATTTTAAAAGTATACATTTTCCAGTTGTATAAAAAGTGAGATCCCACAAGCACAACCATTCATTCCTTGAAAAGTCAACATGATCTGCACGAATCACTCTGCAAACACTGACGACTGTCAAACCACCGTAGACCACGACGACGATCCTGTGCTTCTACCGGGCTTGCCCAACCATCTAGCCCAAGTAATCCTCTCCACTGTCCGTCCGTCTCTCCTCTCCGCTGTCTGCCGCCAGTGGCGCCACCTCATCTACACACCTTACTTCCCTCCCTTTTTAACTCTTTACGCCATTGTTGCCAATAACAATGACCGAAGCCTCTCCGATTCCGTCGCTTTCTTCACCTTCGATCCGGTCTCCTCTAAATGGATAACTTTACCACCTCCGGCGACCAACCCACCTCTTCGTTTCCTTCACCGCCATCCGTCCTTCATTTCCCGGAACCTCACGATACAATCTTTAACAGTCTCCGGCCGGCTAGTACTCATTGCAGCCACCGGTCATAACTTCCTCCCGGCGTTATCGCATCCGCTTGTTTTCGATCCTCTGACCGGAGAATGGTTTCTCGGTCCTCCACTGACGAACCCACGTCGATGGTGCGCCGCTGGGTGTATTCGTAACACGGTGTACGTGGCTAGCGGTGTTGGGGCCCACTACCGTGGTGACGTGGGGAAGATGATGGAGAAATGGGAGGTGGGGAGGCGGAGGGAGGAGTGGCGGTGGGAGGAGATGGCGGGGCTAAAAGATGGAAGATTTAGTAGAGAAGCGGTGGAGGCAGTTGGATATAAAGGGAAGCTTTCCATGGTGAATGTGAAAGGTAATGCAGGGAAAGAAGGTGTTGTTTATGACGTAGAGGAAAACCGGTGGGAGAAAATGGCGACGGGGATGCTTTCAGGGTGGAAAGGGGCGGTGGGTGTGGCGGAGGAAGAGGTGATGTATGTGGTGGATGAAGAGAAAGGTGCTTTGAGCAAGTACGATGATGAGAAGGATTGCTGGGAAGAGATGATTGAAGGGTCGGAGCTTTTGAAAGGAGCGGAGCAAATGACGGTTGGTGGAGGGAAAATTTGTGTTGTTTCCGGTGGTGGTGGGAGGATCACGGTGGTGGATTTGGTGACGGAGCCGGTGAGGATGTGGGTGGTTGATCCGCCACAGCCGGAAAATGAAGTGATTTCGGTTCATATCTTGCAAAGGCCATGTAAAAAATTATGAAAATCTTGCGATTATATTATTTTGATAATATATTCGATAAAGAAATAAGTGAATATGAATATATAAATCTATCTTAGCAAGTCTCGTCCGGCCTTAGATTTCTTTTATTCAGTTTATTAATACTTTACTTCACTTCTAGATGTGTCATATTACTTTGACTAAATTATATAGCGTGTTTAAAAAAGCATAATCATGAAAATAGTTACATGTCTTTAATATTTTAATATTTTGATCTCTTTTAAACAAACCCACATCAAAAAAGCTTGAAAGTGAGAAAATAAATAAAATACTACACATGTTTGAGAGATAATAATATAATAGTGATAGTTAAAAGTTTGGTTTGGAAATTATATGAACTTGAAAGTTAAAACCCAAAATCCCCAACGAAAGTTTTGTGTTTTTATGTGTCCCACTATAATTTCAGAAGCTAAAATTGCGGCAAAACTCAACTCCAACACTTCTTTCACTAATGTGCAGACACACATAAAACTTGTTGGGAAGTTTAGGGTTTGTGGTAGAGATCTGGATTCCAATTTGGATCGTGATATCACTTTCCGAACTGATATTTCTACTCTATGTCTGGGTTACAAGAAATTCAGCCTAGGATAATCAAAGTGGACACTTACGATTCTAGGCACAGAAATCGTAAACCAATATGTTAGAGGATTCTGTGAAAATATGATGAAAACGAGAGCTTAAGATCGTATATCTCTTCTGAAAAGAAGAGTCGTTTATATAATAAACGATATTAGGGTTTCATTAGGGTTGGGCCGCTATGGATTCCTTTGGAAGCAAGTCAGGGTAATCCGGATTTTAATGATGAAAGCGGGACCCCAGCCAGGGGCTCTGCCCCTTGGACTTCACTAGGGGCGCTGCCCCTTTGGAAACCTCGGACCCAGGGGCGCTGCCCCCTGACCCCCGACTACTAATTTGATCTTATACATGCGTGCACTCCGCACCAACCCGTACACATATTATATAACAAATTGAGAAGCCCCTTAGCTCACATGCTAATTTCAGTTACATAAAATGAAATGGTGACACTAAAATTGTTGGAATCCTAAGTCGATGAGGACTTGGAGACCAAACAATCTAATTTATGGAAAGTTTAGTTTATGGCAAGTTGGTCATAAGTTTCCTAGTCTAATTACAAGTTGGTTTGTTAGGCTATATATACATGTTCATAATCGAGTTTATGATTATGAGAACAGATTGTAAAACATCGGTTTTGAGTTAGTTTCCGATTAATCAAAGAGTTATTTTGGTTATTTTGTTTTGCATTCTTGTTTTCTAAACTTTAATTGGTATCAGAGCATAGGGTTCGTGAGGACGTAGGGCGGCCGGTTGAGAGTCGGTTTTAGGAAAAGTGTAGCCCTTTGCTGCAGGGCAGACGCAGCGGGAACCGGGTTCGGTTTAAGGGGGGTGTGAATTGTTTTTGAGCGCGAGTTGAAACATCTCAACAGAAGCCCTGGTTTTTCTTGATCAGGCTTGTTCTACGGTAAAGAGAGACTAACCGGAGGTGCGGAATAAACGAACGGGAAGACGTAAAGCGGGTAGCTTTTATTCGGTTCGTTTTGGGGGTGACGGAAAACGGTAAAGGTGGTCGTGACCGAGGTGGAGGTCGGGTGTCCGGAAAAGTCGAGAATCAAGATGGCTCGAAAAGAAGGTGATTTTTCGGAATGTGACGACAACGACGAGCCCGTATTTTAAATACGGATTGGGGTTGAAGAATTCTCTAGAAGGACTTAGAGATTCAGGGGTGATTGTTGGAATCCTAAGTCGATGAGGACTTGAAGACCAAACAATCTAATTTATGGAAAGTTTAGTTTATGGCAAGTTGGTCATAAGTTTCCTAGTCTAATTACAAGTTGGTTTGTTAGGCTATATATACATGTTCATAATCGAGTTTATGATTATGAGAACAGATTGTAAAACATCGGTTTTGAGTTAGTTTCCGATTAATCAAAGAGTTATTTTGGTTATTTTGTTTTGCATTCTTGTTTTCTAAACTTTAAAAATCACCAACAAAGCTAGGCTCACAATCCAATCATATTCAGGTTAGTGTGTCGTAGGTTAGCGGTTCATAAAAACTCTGTTGGAACATGATTTATATAAACACACACATATCGTATTGTTCAACCTAACTCAAATGAGTCATAACCAGATCAACCCACGTAATCCCTTTAATTGTAAAGGTTTGTATGTCATATTAGATTGGTTGATTACAGGAAGAAAATGTAAATATCATATATTACTTATTATCTCATCTATTTATTAAATATCTTTTTTTTTTATCATTTTTAATCTAATAAAATAAACAGGTTCATGGGTCAACTTGTAAAAATATTTGCAAACCCGAACACTATGCGTATAATAAACAGGTTAGCGGGTTGCATGTTGGCGAGTTGACTGGTTAGAAAAACTAAACCCAAACTTGTTTATAATTGTGTCGTGTTGTTGGTCGTGTTGAGATTGTCACCTCTATGCACAAGCCATAGTCATTGTAGTTGTAAGAAATGGAAACGAAGGAGAGGAAAATACATGGCATGATGAAGGAATGATGGAGGTGGTGTGACGGGTCTAGGAACAATGGAAAGACAAGGTACCAGCAAGGTGAATGTCGCATGATCTACGTCTGCCAATAATTTATTGGCACATAGTCATTGTTCTTGGCTAGCTAGGGTAGATGTTCATACATGCTTCATATGTATACAAAGGATTGTAAATTGTAACATTGTTGGAAGGATATGTCGAAGAAAACGGTTGCAGTCATGATGTGTGAGGGATTGTTGATTGATTATCTTCCGTATATTGAGAATTACATGTCGATTATTTGCAAATAATAAATAAAATTATTGTTATTATAATTACCAAGTTTCTTATAAAAACCAGATTGATCATTCGCGATCAGATCTAATTATAATAATGGTAGAAGGAAGACTATTACATGGTGCTTAAATACCACATTTCTTGTCTTAACTATCTGCTAACTTTCTTGGGGGAATTCATTTGATCTCTATTTATTGGCACTCATGACCGAACTATCCATTATATCTCATAATACATTATTAAATTTCTCCATCTAGACTTATACACATATCACTAGAAAACCTAATGCTCTAGATGGTATTACCATCATCTGGCCTTGCTCTGTCTCTAATCTCTACTATCTTCATCCGATATGCTATAAATTTCATATAATTCAATTCACTTTTCACCATTCACTTTAGTAAATGACATGTGATAATTATTCCATAAGTCTCACTACAAGAAAAAGTCGATTTTGCTACAGAAAGAATGTATTGCAAAAAGCTGAAATTCCATTGCAAAAGACGAATTGCTATGGATTTTGCAATGGCCCATTTCGTCCCTAAAAACCTGTAGCGAGTGTTTGCAACGGAAACAATAATTTTGTCGCAAATATGAGAAACAAAATGAAGTCCATTGTAAATGGTATTCCGTCATGTATTTTGTAGTAGAATTTCGTTGTCAAATCCGTAGTAGTTCTTCCATTACAAATTTTGTTGTAGTGGATCCGTAGCAAATTCTGTGATAATGAATCTCTAGCAAAATCTGTGGTGATGTATCCCTAGCAAAATCTGTGGTGATTAATCCCTATCTAAATCTATTGTGATGAATCCCTAGCAAAATCGGTGGTCTATATTCTATAGCAGATTCCATAACAAATTACGTAGGAATATTTTTGTTGCAAAGCTAGCTACGGATAGATAAAAAAAATTTACAAATTAAATCCAAATTATTTTGTACTGGTATATAATAACAAAAATAACAAAAAAGTCAAATACATTTATACCATTAAATAAACAATAAATATTTATTACATTGAAAATGAAAAGCGGGTAATCTAAAATAAATGCTTTGCAATAAACAAATTAACACTTTATGATGTTTGTTGTTGTTGAAAACCATTAATAACAACCATTGCCGGTTATAATTGTTTATTAAGTTGTTCGATACTTTTGTTGTGTTGGTTATCTCTGACCTTCATTATCTCCTTGATTTCTTCATTTTGCTTTTTTTGCTGATTAACAAGCTCATTCAGTTCTTCTAGTTCAATATTTTTTTCCGGGATGTAATTACACAGTTTAGTTGTATCGTTAATCATGGGAACCGCCTTTGCATACAGCCAAATCCATACAATCTTCTTTTCTTGTAATAACCACCAACAACATCATAAAATATTAGGCCATCCTCAACTTCTTTACCTATAACTTCCAACTCTTTCCGTTTTTCTGTAAAGGTCGCCTACAAAATAATAATAATTAAAAAAGATATATTAGTTATGAATAACATGAAGTCCACAGTATAAAACTTTGCATTGAAATGAATTTTACATGAATTTTTCTATCCTTCTTCATTTGTAAATGTAACTTCATTGTGATTCTTCGTGTGGGTATAGAAGAACAATTCACTATATGGTGGATCACGTCCTGATTTCCTCTTCTTCATAAATACCATAAAATGTAAAATATATATACATATAAATATAAAAATACAAATTTTGATGAACCATTAAAAAAAACTTACCAAATCATAAGCAACCTTCTAATGAGAAACAAATCCAACATTATGAGTAGGTTGTGGTATTCCATCAGCCACCCCATTATGCTTATTGAACTTGTTTTGATCAGATTTTTGCTTGTATTCATATGTATTCCATTTTCCTTACCAGGAGTTCCAGACTTTTAGTGTAATATGAGGTGGTGTCCTGCTAGTTGGGTTTCTTTTTTCGTTCAACATGTTGTATAGATATTGGCCATAACTTCGTGCCGCTTTACTTTCTTAAACTTTCCTCACTTGTGTGTCTTTTGCTTCATTCAAACAATAGTTTTCTACACATAAGTTTAAATGTATATGTTTACCAAACAATAATTTAAAACATATAATTAATTACCTTAAACTCCTCCCAATATAATTCTTGCATTTTGTTGCTTACTTTTCCCCAAGCGTACCCTTCTACATCTACTCTCTGAAGAAAG